CTCACGCACGCACCACACACTCACGCACGCACCACACACTCACGCACGCACCACACACTCACGCACGCACCACACACTCACGCACGCACCACACACTCACGCACGCACCACACACTCACGCACGCACCACACACTCACGCACCACACACTCACGCACCACACACTCACACACATATGTATGTATGTGTGTATGTATGTATGTGTATGTATATGTATGTGTGTGTGTGCGTGTGCGTTTGCATGTGCGTGTGCGTGTTTGTGTGTGTATGTGTATGTATATGTACATGTATATGCGTGTGTGTGTGTATATATATATATATATATATATATATATATATATATATATATATATATATATATATATATAAATATATGTAAATATCATCATCATCATCAGGCTCGGCTTGAATCATTCCACTGCAGGATGTAGGCCTCTCCCAATCTTTTCCAACTTTGTCTGTCTTGCTTTTTTTATTTCTAGTCTTGGCCCTCAAGTGTGTGTGTGTGTGTGTGTGTAATTTGATCCATGAGTGGACAGTGGGGCACTTGTATTCATTGGGTTAAATCCCTTTTTTTCTTTCTTTCTTTTTTTTTTTAACCTATTTGCAACGGGTAAAAATGAACAAATTATGGGGAAAATTCTGTGTTCATGTCTTATACTTTTTGTGAAATGTCTCTACACATAAATGGCTCTGCCTTACCTGATTTCATTTGGCGGGAAAATATATTTTTTACTAGTGCTATGAATATTGATGGTTACTTTTATTATAAACATTATAATTACTATAATGTCATAAACATTAGTAACAGCAAAATAAGATAACGTAGAATATTTTTGTAAATTAAAGAAAAGGGTAAACGCACGAGACAGGCAGTACAAGTACAAGTGTAGCCATCTATATGTAAAAACAATTAAACATGTAAACTCAATGTCACGTTTATGTGACACCCAGTGTGAAGGGGTTAAGGAAAATTTTGTGGCACTTTCTCTGTGGGAAATGTACACATACATATTTAAAAGTATGTATATTATATACAACATTCTTCATATATTTTTTCAAGAATCCATAGAGCACACACACACACAAATTTGCTGACTCCTGCGTGTTCTTTTCCAGGATGGGGGAGCCACGGAGGTGTTGGCTGCGGTGGCACAACTACAGTGATTCAGTGACGTCGGCACTAGAGTCTCTCCGGTATGACGAGGACTTCTTGGACGTAACAGTGGCATGCGAGGGACGAACAATACGAGCCCACAAATTAGTGCTCTCTGCCTGTAGTGCTTACTTCAGAAAGGTGCTAAAGGTAGGGTGGGGATGTGTTATGTACTGTACTTTTTGGTATACTATGCCTTTCACAAGAACAGTAGCTCAGTTGGAATATAGAAGATTTAGACTAAAAGGGTACTTCTCGACTCCAGATTCTGACTAAAGGGGCTCTTTTGATATGAAGAGGAAAATTAGCATGTCTATAATTATATTTGCTTGAAAAAAAATTATTTCTTAGCCCTTAAATAAGACGATACTGACAGTTCCAACTTTTTCTCAAAAACTGAACTGAAGAAGGCACTTTGTCTGAATGTATAGAAAAGTTGAATGTTTTCTAACTCTCAAAAGAGAAAAAAAACGTTACAAAAAATTTCCCATCACGCTCAGTGAGGAGGTTATCATCACTTTTTCAAATGCCTTTTTGGTTTAAAAACAATAAAAATAACAAAACTATAAATTTTATCTTCCTCTCTTGCAATACACTCTTGACCTTCATCTGCAGTGTTTTGATCACGGTGTGTATTTCACTATGTTTTTTATAAAGTCAAGGGGGATAGCTACTCTTATGTGTATAGATATTTACATAATTATCATGTAATTGATACTTTACCTTTTTCATTCAATTTGTATCTACCAAGCAAGGATTGTTCCTCACAGATTTTCTCAACAAGCTTTTTCTTCTTGTCAACAGGACCATCCATGTGACCACCCCATCATTATTTTGGATGGTTTAGGATGGAGAGAGGTTGTGGCCTTATTACATTTCATGTATTGTGGAGAAGTTGTAGTGGAGGAAGAAGAGTTACCAAACCTTTTGAGTGCTGCATCCAACTTAAGTGTGACTGGATTAACTCATGTTACCATGGCATTAGCAAGTACACAGGTATGATCCAAAACAGGCTTTGTTGTTTTTTGCTTTGGTTTATGTGTGTTTCTATAAGATTTTTTTTCATTGCTGAAGGTAATGATCAGATCCACTTACTGTGGACTATACATTTTTCCGTGATTTGTAAGAAGCTGACTGCTTATCCTGATTTTGTTTACAAACTAAAACGGCAATATCATTTAGTGTAGAGAAACTTGTATCTTAAATGTAGTTATTATTACTGTATGATTTCTTTATTAGAATTTAAAAGGATTTCCCGAAGGAAAATTATATATTCCAAGTTGAAAGTTCAGGAACAGTAGAGATTTTTTTTATTTTACTGAGATAATCAAATGCTTGATAGGCAACTGGTGAAGAAGACACAGATGAAGACTATGAAGATGATGAAGAGGAAGAAGAGGAAGAGGAGAAAGCAACAAAGTTACCAGAAAGCACCCATGTATCAAAGAAAGAAGAGGCAGAGAGTGAAAAAGATTCCTCGTACGAGAGCGATGCACCACCTGCTTCTAAGAGGCAACGCAGAGACTCCAGCAGTACTCAGGAGACAAGTTGCACTAACAAGGAGCCCTTAGAAGAATCACAGACGAGTAGAAGAAATTCAGTTTCTTCTAAAAAAGAGAACGCGAGTCCCCCCCCAGTAGTGACCAATGGCTTGACTCCCACCACGCAAGCAGGCCTAGCAGCCATACCTGTCCCCAGTAACCCTGCCTCTGATGTCAGGTAAGTCAAGATAATGAGAGAGAGAGAGTGAGTGAGTGTGAGAGTGTGAATGAGTGAGTGAGTGAGTGAGTGAGTGTGTGAATGACTGAGTGAGTGAGTAAGTGATTGAGTGAGTGAGTGAGTGAGTGAGTGAGTGAGTGAGTGAGTAAGTGAGTGAGTGAGTGAGTGAGTGAGTGAGTGAGTGAGTGAGTGAGTGAGTGAGTGAGTGAGTGAGTGAGTGAGTGAGTGAGTGAGTGAGTGAGTGAGTGAGTGAGTGAGTGAGTGAGTGAGTGAGTGAGTGAGTGAGTGAGTGAGTGAGTGAGTGAGTGAGTGAGTGAGTGAGTGAGTGAGTGAGTGAGTGAGTGAGTGAGTGAGTGAGTGAGTGAGTGAGTGAGTGAGTGAGTGAGTGAGTGAGTGAGTGAGTGAGTGAGTGAGTGAGTGAGTGAGTGAGTGAGTGAGTGAGTGAGTGAGTGAGTGAGTGAGTGAGTGAGTGAGTGAGTGAGTGAGTGAGTGAGTGAGTGAGTGAGTGAGTGAGTGAGTGAGTGAGTGAGTGAGTGAGTGAGTGAGTGAGTGAGTGAGTGAGTGAGTGAGTGAGTGAGTGAGTGAGTGAGTGAGTGAGTGAGTGAGTGAGTGAGTGAGTGAGTGAGTGAGTGAGTGAGTGAGTGAGTGAGTGAGTGAGTGAGTGAGTGAGTGAGTGAGTGAGTGAGTGAGTGAGTGAGTGAGTGAGTGAATTTGTATCTACCAAGCAAGGATTGTTCCTCACAGATTTTCTCAACAAGCTTTTTCTTCTTGTCAACAGGACCATCCATGTGACCACCCCATCATTATTTTGGATGGTTTAGGATGGAGAGAGGTTGTGGCCTTATTACATTTCATGTATTGTGGAGAAGTTGTAGTGGAGGAAGAAGAGTTACCAAACCTTTTGAGTGCTGCATCCAACTTAAGTGTGACTGGATTAACTCATGTTACCATGGCATTAGCAAGTACACAGGTATGATCCAAAACAGGCTTTGTTGTTTTTTGCTTTGGTTTATGTGTGTTTCTATAAGATTTTTTTTCATTGCTGAAGGTAATGATCAGATCCACTTACTGTGGACTATACATTTTTCCGTGATTTGTAAGAAGCTGACTGCTTATCCTGATTTTGTTTACAAGCTAAAACGGTAATATCATTTAGTGTAGAGAAACTTGTGTCTTAAATGTAGTTATTATTACTGTATGATTTCTTTATTAGAATTTAAAAGGATTTCCCGAAGGAAAATATATATATGTCCAAGTGAAAGTTCAGGGAACAAGTAGAGATTTGTTTCTTATTTACTGAGATAAGCAAATGTCTGGATAGGCAACTGGTGAAGAAGACACAGATGAAGACTATGAAGAGATGAAGGAAGAGGAAGACTAGGAAGAGGAGAAAAGCAAACAAAGTTACCCAGAAAGCACCCATGTATTCAAAGAAAGAAGAGGCAGAGAGTGAAAAAGATTCCTCGTACTGAGTAGCGATGCAACCACCTGCTTCTAAGAGGCAACGCAGAGACTCCAGTAGTACTCAGGAGACAAGTTGCACTAACAAGGAGCCCTTAGAAGAATCACAGACGAGTAGAAGAAATTCCGTTTCTTCTAAAAAAGAGAACGCGAGTCCCCCCCCAGTAGTGACCAATGGCTTGACTCCCACCACGCAAGCAGGCCTAGCAGCCATACCTGTCCCCAGTAACCCTGCCACTGATGTCAGGTAAGTCAAGATAATGAGAGAGAGAGAGTGAGTGTGTGAGTGAGTGAGTGAGTGAGTGAGTGAGTGAGTGTGAGTGTGTGAATGAGTGAGTGAGTAAGTGATTGAGTGAGTGAGTTGGTAACCGAGAGTCAAACAGACAACTTTTAGGAAGATGGGAAGAGTAGGTAATTTGGTCATGTATGAAAGAAATGACAGAAATAATAATGTGAATAAGAATGAATGAACGAGGTGTGTGGTTTAATGATGACCATAGTGAATACAGAGAGAAGGAGTCAAAAGAAAACAGATAAGGACAACAGAATAGGTAGTGGGTAGAGGATAAAGACAAAGGAGTAGGTGGAGAGAGGAAGTTCTACCTATTTTTCTTTTCATCGATGACTAAATATTTGCTCCATTTTTAGAGAAGAGAAAGAAGAGGACAAGGAAAGTACGAAAGTTGTCCCCAAAGAGAAAAAGACAGTCAGCAAAGACAAAACAAAAGGGAAGCTGATGAATGGAAACAACCATATCAAGGAGGAAATGGAAGAATACTTGGAGGTAAGAATAATCAATTGTTTTGGTGAGTAACTTTTTTTTTTTTTTTTTTTTTTTTTTTTTTTTTTTTTTTTTTTTTTTTTTTTTCTTGATAATTCATATAAGATTTGCCTTCTTCAAGACCTGGAAATATTATATATAATTGTGTAATATGATTGTACAATTCAAAATAATTTGTCCTTTGGTAGATCTCCTAAAATCACTATAGGTATTTTTTATGTTATTTTATTTATTTTTTAGTTTGATTTTTTTATTAGTATTGTTATTTTTATTAATTTATTTTTTGTAGGAGGACTTTGAAGGAAGCAGACCTGAAAATGGGGATTCAGATTACATGAAGAATTTGGCCGATCCCGAAAAGTCATCTGGCGGCTCAGTCACAGATAGCATAACAGAGAGTGCAGCGGCACCAGTAACGCCTCCTTTAAGTGGTGGTGTTAATTATACTGCTTTGATAACCAGAGGAATCTTGCCATCTGTTACGAACATGAAGACAGACACGATCCTCATCTCCCCGAGTGAGTGAGTGAGTGAGTGAGTGAGTGAGTGAGTGAGTGAGTGAGTGAGTGAGTGAGTGAGTGAGTGAGTGAGTGAGTGAGTGAGTGAGTGAGTGAGTGAGTGAGTGAGTGAGTGAGTGAGTGAGTGAGTGAGTGAGTGAGTGAGTGAGTGAGTGAGTGAGTGAGTGAGTGAGTGAGTGAGTGAGTGAGTGAGTGAGTGAGTGAGTGAGTGAGTGAGTGAGTGAGTGAGTGAGTGAGTGAGTGAGTGAGTGAGTGAGTGAGTGAGTGAGTGAGTGAGTGAGTGAGTGAGTGAGTGAGTGAGTGAGTGAGTGAGTGAGTGAGTGAGTGAGTGAGTGAGTGAGTGAGTGAGTGAGTGAGTGAGTGAGTGAGTGAGTGAGTGAGTGAGTGAGTGAGTGAGTGAGTGAGTGAGTGAGTGAGTGAGTGAGTGAGTGAGTGAGTGAGTGAGTGAGTGAGTGAGTGAGTGAGTGAGTGAGTGAGTGAGTGAGTGAGTGAGTGAGTGAGTGAGTGAGTGAGTGAGTGAGTGAGTGAGTGAGTGAGTGAGTGAGTGAGTGAGTGAGTGAGTGAGTGAGTGAGTGAGTGAGTGAGTGAGTGAGTGAGTGAGTGAGTGAGTGAGTGAGTGAGTGAGTGAGTGAGTGAGTGAGTGAGTGAGTGAGTGAGTGAGTGAGTGAGTGAGTGAGTGAGTGAGTGAGTGAGTGAGTGAGTGAGTGAGTGAGTGAGTGAGTGAGTGAGTGAGTGAGTGAGTGAGTGAGTGAGTGAGTGAGTGAGTGAGTGAGTGAGTGAGTGAGTGAGTGAGTGAGTGAGTGAGTGAGTGAGTGAGTGAGTGAGTGAGTGAGTGAGTGAGTGAGTGAGTGAGTGAGTGAGTGAGTGAGTGAGTGAGTGAGTGAGTGAGTGAGTGAGTGAGTGAGTGAGTGAGTGAGTGAGTGAGTGAGTGAGTGAGTGAGTGAGTGAGTGAGTGAGTGAGTGAGTGAGTGAGTGAGTGAGTGAGTGAGTGAGTGAGTGAGTGAGTGAGTGAGTGAGTGAGTGAGTGAGTGAGTGAGTGAGTGAGTGAGTGAGTGAGTGAGTGAGTGAGTGAGTGAGTGAGTGAGTGAGTGAGTGAGTGAGTGAGTGAGTGAGTGAGTGAGTGAGTGAGTGAGTGAGTGAGTGAGTGAGTGAGTGAGTGAGTGAGTGAGTGAGTGAGTGAGTGAGTGAGTGAGTGAGTGAGTGAGTGAGTGAGTGAGTGAGTGAGTGAGTGAGTGAGTGAGTGAGTGAGTGAGTGAGTGAGTGAGTGAGTGAGTGAGTGAGTGAGTGAGTGAGTGAGTGAGTGAGTGAGTGAGTGAGTGAGTGAGTGAGTGAGTGAGTGAGTGAGTGAGTGAGTGAGTGAGTGAGTGAGTGAGTGAGTGAGTGAGTGAGTGAGTGAGTGAGTGAGTGAGTGAGTGAGTGAGTGAGTGAGTGAGTGAGTGAGTGAGTGAGTGAGTGAGTGAGTGAGTGAGTGAGTGAGTGAGTGAGTGAGTGAGTGAGTGAGTGAGTGAGTGAGTGAGTGAGTGAGTGAGTGAGTGAGTGAGTGAGTGAGTGAGTGAGTGAGTGAGTGAGTGAGTGAGTGAGTGAGTGAGTGAGTGAGTGAGTGAGTGAGTGAGTGAGTGAGTGAGTGAGTGAGTGAGTGAGTGAGTGAGTGAGTGAGTGAGTGAGTGAGTGAGTGAGTGAGTGAGTGAGTGAGTGAGTGAGTGAGTGAGTGAGTGAGTGAGTGAGTGAGTGAGTGAGTGAGTGAGTGAGTGAGTGAGTGAGTGAGTGAGTGAGTGAGTGAGTGAGTGAGTGAGTGAGTGAGTGAGTGAGTGAGTGAGTGAGTGAGTGAGTGAGTGAGTGAGTGAGTGAGTGAGTGAGTGAGTGAGTGAGTGAGTGAGTGAGTGAGTGAGTGAGTGAGTGAGTGAGTGAGTGAGTGAGTGAGTGAGTGAGTGAGTGAGTGAGTGAGTGAGTGAGTGAGTGAGTGAGTGAGTGAGTGAGTGAGTGAGTGAGTGAGTGAGTGAGTGAGTGAGTGAGTGAGTGAGTGAGTGAGTGAGTGAGTGAGTGAGTGAGTGAGTGAGTGAGTGAGTGAGTGAGTGAGTGAGTGAGTGAGTGAGTGAGTGAGTGAGTGAGTGAGTGAGTGAGTGAGTGAGTGAGTGAGTGAGTGAGTGAGTGAGTGAGTGAGTGAGTGAGTGAGTGAGTGAGTGAGTGAGTGAGTGAGTGAGTGAGTGAGTGAGTGAGTGAGTGAGTGAGTGAGTGAGTGAGTGAGTGAGTGAGTGAGTGAGTGAGTGAGTGAGTGAGTGAGTGAGTGAGTGAGTGAGTGAGTGAGTGAGTGAGTGAGTGAGTGAGTGAGTGAGTGAGTGAGTGAGTGAGTGAGTGAGTGAGTGAGTGAGTGAGTGAGTGAGTGAGTGAGTGAGTGAGTGAGTGAGTGAGTGAGTGAGTGAGTGAGTGAGTGAGTGAGTGAGTGAGTGAGTGAGTGAGTGAGTGAGTGAGTGAGTGAGTGAGTGAGTGAGTGAGTGAGTGAGTGAGTGAGTGAGTGAGTGAGTGAGTGAGTGAGTGAGTGAGTGAGTGAGTGAGTGAGTGAGTGAGTGAGTGAGTGAGTGAGTGAGTGAGTGAGTGAGTGAGTGAGTGAGTGAGTGAGTGAGCTTCTAACTTGTAATTGTAAGAAAGGTGATTATTAGATGTTATTTTTTTTAAAGGAATAGTGATAACTTTGATATCTGTTTGTTTCTTTTGCAAGGCAACTATTAATGTATTAGTATTACTTTCTTCTTCTTCTTCTTCTTCTTTTTCTTCTTTTAATTACCAAAATGTGTAGAGATTCTAATGCCCCTCAAGAAGTGGCAACTGAAAGAGACATTTTCCATTCATTTTTTTGCAAGCATAAAATTTGATAATCTTGTTTTTGAGGCTTTATAATCTCTTGTTTTCATTTACATTGTTTGATCACCTTGGGACACCAGATTTTATGATGGTGATTCATCAGTCTTCCCTGAAAGCTTTATTTGTATATTCATCAGCAAATATTGGTTCTGAATGTTTAGAATTTACTCTTAGAGTTGCGTGTTTGGCCATATACAGATCATGCTATTATATCTGATTACATGATAACCATTAGATGCAGAGTTTGCACATGCCTGAGAATTGCAGACTTTTATCCACTAGTTTTTATATATTGTTTTATTCTTAATTATTATTATTATTATTATTTTTTTTTTTATATACCTGGTCAGTACCCAAATCAGAAATAATGAGGTCATTTGTCAGTTTCAAAATAATCTCGAGTATGCGTCACAGATGTAGAAGTAGAAACTATTTCTCAATTTTTTGCTCTTGGTGTTGTAAACTTGTTTGTGTTATTCTCTTGCAGTGCACAACACCAATAAATGCCTCTCATTAAAAAAAAACTAACTCGATATAATTTTTCAGCACTAAGTGACAAAATAGTGCAGAAGGTCCTCCTCCCCGCACAGCCATCCACTGGAGCTTCCCCCTCATGCACGTCACCCAGCTCAAGCACAACGTCTGTCACAACCCCAACCGCAACACTCAGCACAAACAGTCAGACAGACACCTCTCCAAGCCAGCCCTACATTCAACCACCCTTGGTCTCTGTGCAGGAGGTCCAAGCTACACTAGGTAAGAGGTAGAGGTCTGGTATTCTGGTTGTGACTGAGAAAGCTCCTGTGAGCAGGTGCTTTGTTAACCCCTTTATGCATGTACTTATTTGTTTTCTGTTTGCATAGTAGGTGTGAACTTCATGAGGTATAGAATTTCATTCAGCCCTCATTCTTTTACATTTTGTAGAGCCACAAGGTACAAAAAAAAAAGTAAAAGTAGTTCATCCCTTATTTATGAGGAGCTACTACTAGTCATTAATCTTTCCTTTGATCTTAAACAGAACAATACCAGCGGAAGCTTGCCTTTCATGAGCCAAGACCATGCCCGACGTGTAAGAGGATGTACCGAGATGCTGCCACCTTACGGACACACATGGCTATCATGCACGCTGAAGGTAGAATTAATTTTATATGCAATTACTTTTCTTGCTGTTAACAGAGAACTATTTCCCCTTTTGCAAATTACACACACGCACTCACACTCTCTCTCTCTCTCTCTCTCTCTCTCTCTCTCTCTCTCTCTCTCTCTCTCTCTCTCTCTCTCTCTCTCTCTCTCTCTCTCCCTCTCCTCTCCCTCTCTCTCCCTCTCTCCCTCTCTCCCTCTCTCCCTCTCTCCCTCTCTCCCTCTCTCCCTCTCTCCCTCCCTCCCTCCCTCCCTCCCTCCCTCCCTCCCTCCACATAGCCATCTATGTGTAAAAACAATCGAACAAGTCGACTCGCAGTGGGCATGGCATGTACGTACATGCGATCCCCGGCGGCAATGGGTTAACATGCATATACACATGTAAATTAATGTAAATATACATGCTTACACGTGTAAATGCATATGTGCTCATTTATGTGTGTGTACATACACATATACATGGATATACTCTGGGGATACAGTAAATTAACCCATTGCTGACGGGCATGCCATGCCCACTGAGAGTTTACTAATTTGATTGTTTTTACACATAGATGGCTACAATTGTACTAAATTACCAATGAGCCAATTATTAGCACTGCCTGTCTCGCCCATTCACCCTTTTCTTTATATTATATTTTGCTATTACTAATGTTTATGACATTATAGTAAATATAATGTTCATAATAAAAATAACACCATCGAGATTCATGGCACTAGTAAAAGATGCATTTTCCCGCCAATTCAAGGAAAGGTGAAATCAGGTAAGGCAAAGCCATCTATATGTAGAGACATTTCACAAAAAAATATGAAAAATGAGTACAACATTTTCCCCATCTTTTATTCATTTTCTCTGTCGGCAATGGGTTAATGTAAATGTACATGTTTATACGTGTATATGCATATGTGTGTGCATGTGTGTGTTTGTGTGTGTACATGTACATATACATGGATATGCTTGGAGTACAGTATGTGTGCATACATGCAGATATTAGTGTGTAAGGGCTTCTTCTTTCTTCTTTCTTCCTTCTTCTTCTTTCTTCCTTCTTCTTCTTCTTCTTCTTCTTCTTCCAGTCTACTCAGGGACATCATGTCTATCTTATCTCTTGAATTGTCTAACTAATGATCAAAATAATCTAATCATCTGTAGGCCTATCTATTGAGTTTATATGAACTATATAAGCAGTCTTTACATTTACTTTTTGTATATATAATTAGAAAGTAGATTTATTACAAAGAAGAAAAAAAAAATTATCAAATAAATGTACAAGCCCAAAAAGATTGCAATCAGAAAAAAATTAATGTTAACTTGGTGGCAACACTTGAAAATCTATGGCCTGGGTCTTTCCAAGAGACCCCTCAGTGTGGGTTGGATGCCCAGCTGGCCAGGAGTTATTTGTAGAGATAAAGACTTGTAACTGCTCATGTATTATCATCAAACCCTAAACATACTTATCAGATGTATATGTCAAAATCAGATCATATCTACTTTATTTTATAGGAAAGAATTTTTTTGAAAATCACATGATTTTTTAATTCTTTGTTTTTCAGCAGACAGTGAACATCATACAGTCTTTGCACAAAGCTATGCTTTTGTTTTACCTTTGCTTTTTCTCCCAAAGATTTTAGATATTCATTAGATCTGTTATTCTCATAAACTTACCTTGTTTTATTAGGTAGTCACGGGTTTTGTTAACTTAATTTTCTATACGTGTGCCATTTTCATCTTGCCAGATCTTGAATTAAATTTTGACTCCTGTGCCCAAAGAAATCAAACTGTATTTGAAATGACGAACCTAATCTAATAAAACCAGTAGGTTATGTAGTTGAATTGGATAGTTTTATTTGATTATTATTAATATTATAATTTTTATTTAAAAAAAACTTCTCTTAACTTTTGCAGGCAGAGAACCTTTCTCATGCACATGTGGGGCATTGTTTCGTACAAAATATGACATGTACCAACACAAGAAGAATGGTCATCGATAAGCTTGACAAGTGAACTTCAAGGCCAAAGAATAAGCTGCGATGTAGAGCAAGGAAAACCTGGAGACAGGCAGGTAGTTGTGTCACCATTATAACTGCTATATATATGGCAAACTGATTAACCATGCCAAAGATAAGGAATATGGTAGTTACGTACCAAACAGGAATTGTCTGGTGTAGAAATACATTTCAGAAAATAATTGGAATTGAATTGTAGAAATGTATAATGCCTCCCTAATGATCTGGTATTGGTATGGATTGATATTTTATTCTTTGACAGAAGTTATTACAATGCCAGTTGTTTTTTATTTGTAAATTTATTTTATCATTGTAATTGATACTTATTATTATTATTATTATTATTATTAATATTATTAATATTATTAGTGACAAATTTCACTTCAAGAAGTGATAAAGTTAACTACTGTTTGACTTCAAAGGCTTCTGGTATTTTTATCATCTGAAACTCTTATAAGAGTCAGAAGCAGTGGGTGATGGCATGTCTCTCTACCTGATTATCTTGGTGTTCCAGATTCCTTTTGCTGTAATGCTTGAGTCGCATTTAGGCTATGTCTTGACACAAGATTAGATCTCTTGCTCAAGTTACCCAAACCAAGTGTGCCCTCTGATCTGCCACATTGGCAGCATCAGATACTCCTTTAACCGTTGAACCAAGTATTGCCTTTTGCAGTGTTGGTAGCTTTTGAAACTTCATGTACTCCCACTCTTGTCTGTTGTGGCAGTTTGAAGTCATCTGCTAGCGTTGGATAGTAGTTATGACAACTTTTTGTGACTAACTCTGGTGCTCTTGTCATTTTCCCAGTGTGTAAGCTTTCTTAGCAGGACTTGTGCTCCTTATCATGTGGGGTGATGAGTTTTTCCAAGTGTCTTAAGGTATGTGTGAGTATGATGAAAATGGAATGTTTTGTTGCACAAATATGCTTGATTGTCCTCAAGCTTAGAGGAATACTTTGCTTTAATGAAATATGAAGACAGATGGTTGATGTAAATATTTTTTTATTGATGTACTTGTATTTAAGAAAACAAACCACTCTAGAAAGAAAGCATTGAAATGGTGGTATTACCATTTCTGCTTTTTGCAGAATCTTTTCACACAGCCTTTTGAAGCAGGCAGTTGTATCTGCAAGCCTTAGAAAGAGCTTTTATACTAACCTATTTATGGTATTTATTTTTGTTTCATTATTTCTTGTTTACACTTTGAAATTTGAAATTGTTAAATCATTAACAAAGATTTGGGTAAACCATGAAAATGATCTCAGTCTAGAGATGAGAAAGGCAATCATAAAATATGTCTTACAAGTATTTTTGATACTTGAGCAGAGTGTGTATGTTTGAGGGTTATTGTGATTTAGTGAAACAAAAGGCATGCAGGTGGTGGCAGAATACTGTTTTTGCCCACAATGTGATGTTATATAACACCTTTATGTACACATGAAGACAGCATGTGGTCCAAAGGGAGCAACTTAACATTTGTTTATGCCAGTTTGATCATTGTTACCAAACAAACCACCTAGAGGTTTAGGTGATTAATCTTCCAACCATCTGGAAGAAGGTTGTGTTTTTGTTATATAAAATTAGGTTGAGGGAAAGTTACCACCAACTAGATTTAGTGTTGCACATTTTCTTTAAACACTTACGTTGTTACCAATTAGTGGTATTGAGTAGATATGTCTATATTTCTACTTAGTCTTTATTTTTTTTTAATTTGATTGAATGGAACCAGTGATAGTACATTTCCACTTGAAAAACCAAATATGTAGCCAAATTCTGAATACAGTGTAGTGGTTGAAAATTGTCAAATTTACAGAGATATTCTGTATTTGTTCATTTAATATTATTATTATTATTATTATTATTATTATTATTAATATTATTAATATTATTAGTGACAAATTTCACTTCAAGAAGTGATAAAGTTAACTACTGTTTGACTTCAAGGCTTCTGGTATTTTTATCATCTGAAACTCTTATAAGAGTCAGAAGCAGTGGGTGATGGCATGTCTCTCTACCTGATTATCTTGGTGTTCCAGATTCCTTTTGCTGTAATGCTTGAGTCGCATTTAGGCTATGTCTTGACACAAGATTAGATCTCTTGCTCAAGTTACCCAAACCAAGTGTGCCCTCTGATCTGCCACATTGGCAGCATCAGATACTCCTTTAACCGTTGAACCAAGTATTGCCTTTTGCAGTGTTGGTAGCTTTTGAAACTTCATGTACTCCCACTCTTGTCTGTTGTGGCAGTTTGAAGTCATCTGCTAGCGGTGGATAGTAGTTATGACAACTTTTTGTGACTAACTCTGGTGCTCTTGTCATTTTCCCAGTGTGTAAGCTTTCTTAGCAGGACTTGTGCTCCTTATCATGTGGGGTGATGAGTTTTTCCAAGTGTCTTAAGGTATGTGTGAGTATGATGAAATGGAATGTTTTGTTGCACAAATATGCTTGATTGTCCTCAAGCTTAGAGGAATACTTTGCTTTAATGAAATATGAAGACAGATGGTTGATGTAAATATTTTTTATTGATGTACTTGTATTAAGAAAACAAACCACTCTAGAAAGAAAGCATTGAAATGGTGGTATTACCATTTCTGCTTTTTGCAGAATCTTTTCACACAGCCTTTTGAAGCAGGCAGTTGTATCTGCAAGCCTTAGAAAGAGCTTTTATACTAACCTATTTATGGTATTTATTTTTGTTTCATTATTTCTTGTTTACACTTTGAAATTTGAAATTGTTAAATCATTAACAAAGATTTGGGTAAACCATGAAAATGATCTCAGTCTAGAGATGAGAAAGGCAATCATAAATATGTCTTACAAGTATTTTTGATACTTGAGCAGAGTGTGTATGTTTGAGGGTTATTGTGATTTAGTGAAACAAAAGGCATGCAGGTGGTGGCAGAATACTGTTTTTGCCCACAATGTGATGTTATATAACACCTTTATGTACACATGAAGACAGCATGTGGTCCAAAGGGAGCAACTTAACATTTGTTTATGCCAGTTTGATCATTGTTACCAAACAAACCACCTAGAGGTTTAGGTGATTAATCTTCCAACCATCTGGAAGAAGGTTGTGTTTTTGTTATATAAAATTAGGTTGAGGGAAAGTTACCACCAACTAGATTTAGTGTTGCACATTTTCTTTAAACACTTACGTTGTTACCAATTAGTGGTATTGAGTAGATATGTCTATATTTCTACTTAGTCTTTTATTTTTTTTTTAATTGATTGAATGGAACCAGTGATAGTACATTTCCACTTGAAAAACCAAATATGTAGCCAAATCTGAATACAGTGTAGTGGTTGAAAAATTGTCAAATTTACAGAGATATTCTGTATTTGTTCATTTAATATTATTAAATATTGTACCAGTGAAAAGCATCATAAAGATAGGTCATGGTTGTATGGCCAGGTTTTTACCCAGTGGTTATGTGCCCAAGCATTTACCAGTAGTTCTTCACCTAGGCAGTTTCCAAATTTGTATATATTTTTATGCCTTAAGCATGTTATGTTGTATCAATAATTTTTGTGCAAGACTCATTTGTACTGTGTTCAAACAACTGCAAATTAACCAGTGATTACTTGCCTTGTCTTGAAAGAGTTTAAGATTGATCGAGATGGGTGAGATTGAGAAAAGAAGTTTGTAATATTTTATAAGGTTTTTATACATAAAATGTAAGAGCTTAGGTGTCGAGTTATTGTTGTTCGCTTAGGTACTTAAAGTTGTAAGTAACTGACTTTATACTTGGTGTTGTGTGATTCAGCAACCAATAACAAATACTCTGGCAAATGTTTTGAAAATCATACATAAAGATATAATCTTTGTACTGTGTTCTATGAAGATTATTATTTTGGTATTTTTATGCTCAAAATTTATTTGCAATTTTATATAGTTGATGTTGAATGGATGAGTCAATAGTTGTATTATACCAGAAAGAGTTTTTCATTTGATGGTGTTTTTATACTTGGTTATTTGTTATAAGTTTTTTTTCCCCCCTTGATCAAACAAAAATAGTGAAAAAATTTTGTTTGCAGTAGGCACATGGGATTCATACTTGGCATTAAACTACCGTTTCTTGTGATCTGTATGTTACCAATAGTTTTAATGAGGAAACAAATGAAGCCAAGTGGCAGATAGAACTTGTTTTGCCTATGTAAAGGCCGGACTTTTACTGGATGAATTAAGGTTTTGAAAACAACCCAGTGATTTTGAATCAAAATCTTAACCTGTAGTTCACATAGATATGCAGTTGCTATTAATGCTCTGAAATTCAATTAACACAACAGAATTGCAGTAGATAGGACTAATTGTCTTGTGAATGTTTTTTTGTGTTTTACATATCAGTGCATAGCTGGTAAAATCATACAAAATTATACATTAACCACTTATATTGTATTTTTGTTTACATTATTTCTTGTTTACACTTTGAAATTTGAAATTGTTAAATCATTAACAAAGATTTGGGTAAACCATGAAAATGATCTCAGTCTAGAGATGAGAAAGGCAATCATAAAATATGTCTTACAAGTATTTTTGATACTTGAGCAGAGTGTGTATGTTTGAGGGTTATTGTGATTTAGTGAAACAAAAGGCATGCAGGTGGTGGCAGAATACTGTTTTTGCCCACAATGTGATGTTATATAACACCTTTATGTACACATGAAGACAGCATGTGGTCCAAAGGGAGCAACTTAACATTTGTTTATGCCAGTTTGATCATTGTTACCAAACAAACCACCTAGAGGTTTAGGTGATTAATCTTCCAACCATCTGGAAGAAGGTTGTGTTTTTGTTATATAAAATTAGGTTGAGGGAAAGTTACCACCAACTAGATTTAGTGTTGCACATTTTCTTTAAACACTTACGTTGTTACCAATTAGTGGTATTGAGTAGATATGTCTATATTTCTACTTAGTCTTTATTTTTTTTTAATTTGATTGAATGGAACCAGTGATAGTACATTTCCACTTGAAAAACCAAATATGTAGCCAAATTCTGAATACAGTGTAGTGGTTGAAAATTGTCAAATTTACAGAGATATTCTGTATTTGTTCATTTAATATTATTAAATATTGTACCAGTGAAAAGCATCATAAAGATAGGTCATGGTTGTATGGCCAGGTTTTTACCCAGTGGTTATGTGCCCAAGCATTTACCAGTAGTTCTTCACCTAGGCAGTTTCTAAATTTGTATATATTTTTATGCCTTAAGCATGTTATGTTGTATCAATAATTTTTGTGCAAGACTCATTTGTACTGTGTTCAAACAACTGCAAATTAACCAGTGATTACTTGCCTTGTCTTGAAAGAGTTTAAGATTGATCGAGATGGGTGAGATTGAGAAAAGAAGTTTGTAATATTTTATAAGGTTTTTATACATAAAATGTAAGAGCTTAGGTGTCGAGTTATTGTTGTTCGCTTAGGTACTTAAAGTTGTAAGTAACTGACTTTATACTTGGTGTTGTGTGATTCAGCAACCAATAACAAATACTCTGGCAAATGTTTTGAAAATCATACATAAAGATATAATCTTTGTACTGTGTTCTATGAAGATTATTATTTTGGTATTTTTATGCTCAAAATTTATTTGCAATTTTATATAGTTGATGTTGAATGGATGAGTCAATAGTTGTATTATACCAGAAAGAGTTTTTTCATTTGATGGTGTTTTTATACTTGGTTATTTGTTATAAGTTTTTTTTCCCCCTTGATCAAACAAAAATAGTGAAAAAATTTTGTTTGCAGTAGGCACATGGGATTCATACTTGGCATTAAACTACCGTTTCTTGTGATCTGTATGTTACCAATAGTTTTAATGAGGAAACAAATGAAGCCAAGTGGCAGATAGAACTTGTTTTGCCTATGTAAAGGCCGGACTTTTACTGGATGAATTAAGGTTTTGAAAACAACCCAGTGATTTTGAATCAAAATCTTAACCTGTAGTTCACATAGATATGCAGTTGCTATTAATGCTCTGAAATTCAATTAACACAACAGAATTGCAGTAGATAGGACTAATTGTCTTGTGAATGTTTTTTTGTGTTTTTACATATCAGTGCATAGCTGGTAAAATCATACAAAATTATACATTAACACTTATATTGTATGTTTGTTTACATAGCTACATAACACACACATCACACTGCACAGTCACACCACATATCCATCACACCACACCATATCACCTCACATTGCAAACCATAACACCTAACCCTTTACACCATGCTGCTTCATACCATACCATACCATATCACACTGCACACCATAAAATCTAACATTCCACACACTATACCACCTCATACCACACACACACACTGTGCACATATATAAACATACATTTCCACATCCATTAACCCATTTGCCCTGGATTTATGTTCTGTCCCCTGTAGTTTTTGGTGAATTTTGTTACATACAGATGGCTCCACATGTGCTCAGCTGGCAAGGAGTCTATCAGTAGGCCCTAGTTACCGACCCTGATTTTCCCATTCATTGAATTGGCGGGAAAATTAATACCATTGCTATCGATACTGTTATTATTGTTATTGATGTTATGATTATTAAATTGTCATTAGAATATTTTAGACAATTAAATGATGCAAAAAAAACCTTTCCTAAAGTGAAGGAAAAGGGTAAACAGGTGAAATAGGTAGTTCTTGATAACTGGCTATTTAGTGATTAAGAACTTGTGGAGCCATCTATGTGTAAATACAATAAATAAACGTGTATCAAAGTGGGTATGGCATCTATTCTTGCCACGTGTGGTGAATGGGTTAACAAATATGCTATGATTATGCCAGCTGTGGAAACTTTAACAGTTGTTTGGTAAGTTTGTCTGTTGGGACATTTAAGATTTTAACACCTAACCCTTTACACCATGCTGCTTCATACCATACCATACCATATCACACTGCACACCATAAAATCTAACATTCCACACACTATACCACCTCATACCACACACACACACTGTGCACATATATAAACATACATTTCCACATCCATTACACCATTTGCCCTGGATTTATGTTCTGTCCCCTGTAGTTTTTGGTGAATTTTGTTACATACAGATGGCTCCACATGTGCTCAGCTGGCAAGGAGTCTATCAGTAGGCCCTAGTTACCGACCCTGATTTTCCCATTCATTGAATTGGCGGGAAAATTAATACCATTGCTATCGATACTGTTATTATTGTTATTGATGTTATGATTATTAAATTGTCATTAGAATATTTTAGACAATTAAATGATGCAAAAAAACCTTTCCTAAAGTGAAGGAAAAGGGTAAACAGGTGAAATAGGTAGTTCTTGATAACTGGCTATTTAGTGATTAAGAACTTGTGGAGCCATCTATGTGTAAATACAATAAATAAACGTGTATCAAAGTGGGTATGGCATCTATTCTTGCCACGTGTGGTGAATGGGTTAACAAATATGCTATGATTATGCCAGCTGTGGAAACTTTAACAGTTGTTTGGTAAGTTGGTCTGTTGGGACATTTAAGATTTTTTTTTTTGTGTTTCGTAGAATAAATTACTGTGTTGTGGCATAACAGTGGCCCAGCACAGGTGTATTTGTAAATTGGGTTTTGAGTTTTTTATTTTATTACAGGATAAATTTTAGGAAATGTAGACCACATATCCTTTGGTACTCACTGCATTTGAGTGTGTCTTGGAACATATGATAATTACAGTGTATGATTTTTAATATATATGGAGATATTATAGCAGGAAGATAGAAGGATAAACAAGGCTGGTATTTAAGGACTTTCACCAGCAATACATTTGCATTCCATTGTAAGTTTGGTAAAATGCGCTTTGAAGCACAAAACTTTTTACTGTGGAACTTTCAGGTAAGATTTTGTTTCAGAATGATGGGAATTACTAGATTTTGTAAATGTTATTTAATGTTCTTTATTTTGTTTAATTTTCAGTTATTTTATAACAGCAGTGACTTCCACATACAAACATGTTGATATATAGAAATTACAGAGCACAGTATGGTTACCAAAAGGAATATTAATGCAACTGTTTAGGTGCTAGAAATTGAAGTTTCACACAGTAACTTAACTATGCTAAACACAAGTTAAGTGATGTAATACAGTGTTAATGCCTTTTGATTTGCAGTGAAAACTGAGGAAATGGTCATGGATTGTTCAGAAATGTGTTTAGGTATCACACAAATACCAGTGTTTTGATGGTGAAAGTTGCTGGTGATTTGATTGTCAGTTGAAATAAATAAGTGATAAGTTTATACTTTTGTAAGCATATTGTATGTATTTGTATTTAAGCACCTCATAGTTAGTTTTTGTATTATTGCAATGCACAAACTCAGTAATCTTTTCTGATTTATTGCTCCAGATAACCA